ATCCAGACCAGGATTAACAATGGTGTGTCATCCAAAGCTGTACTGGAGGAGGGCCTACCCCAGGGTTCCTCTTTGAGCTGCACACTTTTCCTTGTTTTCATCAACGACCTGCCTGAGACACTGAAATCAGAGAAGGCCCTATATGCCGACGACCTAGCCATCTGGCATACAAGTAAACAAGCTGGCATCAGTGCACGGCTTATAAATGAGGATCTAGATAGATTCAACAACTACTGCTGCAAGTGGAAACTAAAAGCAAATTGTACCAAGACAATCTACACCGTCTTTACAAAAAGCCACAAAGTTGCAAAGCAAAATCTCACCATCTTACTTGCAGGAAACAAACTAGAAAAAGTTGAAAACCCGACCTAGCTTGGGATCGAGCTGGACAGACAGTTTTCATGCAAAAACCATATCTGGAACCTGAAGACGAAGGCCAACAAGAGACTTAACCTTCTCAGACGACTGGCTAGCACTTCATGGGGAGCGGACAAGGATGCACTCAGACAGCTATATATGTTGGCTATGTACGATCTGCCATGGAATATAACCTAACTTTACAGACAATCTGCAGCAAACCAACTCAGAGGTCTCTTGACAAAATTCAAAACCAAGCTGTACGATTTATCTCCGGAGCTTTGAGATCCACTCCAACTGCAGCTTGTGAAATCCACACGAACCTGGAACCCCTGGACTTGCGGAGAGAGGCAGCTGTAGTAGAGATGAGTGAGCGCTACAAAAGACTGGAGAAAAACCACCCAAACAGGAAAATAATTGAACAGAGACGACCAAAGAAACGGATTCATGGAAGATCAATACTTGACACAGCCACTGAACTAGCAGAAAAACACCATCTTCCATGTAACAGAGAAATGCTGAAACCTTTAAGACCAGAGCTCCCCCCAAACACTAACATCAAGAACGCCAACCTCAAAACCTCCCTCATAAAAGAGACAGTGAAAAAGGAATGTGACCCAGTAAAACTGAAGACAACAGCTGTGAAGACAATTGACTCCTACCCTAGTGATTCAATTCATATTTATACAGACGGGTCAGCCTTCAAGGGAACTATAAACGCAGGCTTTGGGGTAAGAATTGAACATCCTGACAAAACATGTGAAGAGCTATTTGACGCATGTGGTACTTCTTGTACAAATTACCAGGCTGAGGCAATCGCCATTGAAGCAGCAATCCTCCACCTGACCAACATTTTCATAATATATCCAAACAAAATCAAGAACACTATTATCTTCACAGACGGAAAGTCAGTACTCCAAGCTCTGGAAAACATGAATTTCGAAAGCCCAGCCTGCCTATCTGTGGCTCAAACAATCAACACCTTCCTACAGACCTATGCCGTCGACCTGACACTACAGTGGATACCTGGCCACAGCAACATCCCAGGAAACGACAGAGCAGACACCCTTGCCAAGAAGGGAGCATCACAAACACAACCACACAACCCAGTATCACAACAGACAGCCAAGAACATCATCAAATGCAACACCAGGGAACAGTGGCTGAATGGATGGGCAATGGGCAAAACTGGAAGAACTGTATTTGCACACATGACAGCCCCCAACTCTAAAGATGCAATAAATTCCCTGAGTAGAAGAGAACAAGTCACAATATTTCGCCTGCGAACACAACACATACCACTAAATTCCTACCTTAATAGGATCCGCAAGGATACCCCACCCGACTGCCCGTTGTGCGACTGCCAGGATGAAACAGTACCACACCACCTCTTTAACTGCCCAGCACTTTGTGACCTGCGTAGCACCTACCTACCTGCCTCCCCAGACATCGGAAACACTCTATACAGCGACAAAGCACAGCTGATTAAAACCTGTCAATTCTTTGCCATATCGACAGACCGAAGGGCTAGAACCCAAATGGCCACTGGATCGGAAAAGTAAAGTAAAAAAAGTAAAGTATATGGACATAAAAGAGGTTGAGCTCAAAAATAAACATTTGATAAAAATTTCTAAACTCTTGGAAAAATGTCTGTTTATCCGATTTCTGTATTTTGACGAGCGCCTGATTTCATCACGCTGCCTCACAATTTGTTGTGCCTTTTAATCAACATTTTTCAGTAAAATCCAAAAACAAATATGCTTTTAAATGATAAGAGGTGTTGATCCAAAAAACAAAAATTAGAACAAATTTATCAAACAGGCAGAAAATATTGATATCTTCGATTTCATTATTTTGATGAGCGCCTGGTTTCACCACGGTTATTTGGACCCCCAGGGTGCAAATAATCTGGTCATTATATTCGGAACCTCGAGAACAGGTATTAATTATATGGGCTGCATTTGTTTATTCTCACCCAGGGTGAAAAGGCATAAAACTTAATGGATTGGTGAGTTGGTTTCGCGTTTTTGAAAAACGCAGTGACTATGTTCACGGCGCTGTGATTGTAGATCTCTATAGATCTAGTATGCAGGCTACGTTCACGGCACCCTGAAAGTAGTGGCAGGCTATGATTTGCTACGTAAATGTGGAGTTTACTTTGTATTCAGCAGAAAAACAAACTTAAAAAATAAAAGTACACACACTGAACCTGGACTTAACTCCTGCTCTGCGTCTGTGCTGAGATGCAAGTCTTATATTACTGAGCTCCTCATGTCTAAGTGGGTCAATTTGTTGTTATTCCACTGGACGAACATCTAGAGTTACCAACTTGGCGTGTTTTGAATGAGACGTACGCCTCGGTTATGAACCAACGCAGGCGGTTCTACAAGTAGGCCACAAATGCACACATAAAGTCAAGCAGACTGATGCTCGGCATGCGTGCGCCGAGCTAAGAGGGCCGGACTGATACGGGCTCCAACTGGAACCCGGACAGCGGGGGGTCTACTAAACATGGAAGCCGGAAAGAAGGGGGGTCCAAATAATAATCTGATTAATCATACCCCCGGGGTCCCAATAATGACATAGATATTTAATAGCCTAATAATAATTTACAGCTGCGGCTATTCGGACTCAAGTCTGAATAGCCTTGACGAGGCTATTCAGACTCAAAACTCCAATGCTGTGCGCAATCAATGGGTGCACCGGAGGTGAAGTGGACAAGCAATTCGACCTAGATCTAGGCCTTCCTCGGTTTCTACAATCTGGCCAAAATTTTCAACACAAATTAGGAAAAATATTAGTGACATCAAAAGGGAACAACAATTGCAAAATCTGAAATGCTGCTCAACAAAGGCAAACAGGGAAACAGCAATCTGAGCTCAAAGCAGTGAAAAAAGTTGAAAATCAAAGAAGAAAAAAGTTAAACACCTTCCAAAGGGAACAAATGTCAGTCATTCAAAGTAACAGTGGTCTAAAGGAAAAGCTTTTCCAACACCATACTTAACATGATGTTAAAAAACCAGGACAATACAAATATATTCTGATAGTGTTTTATACAAGAGGCCCATTCGAGATGGGTTCGAGTTGTGTCGGGTCAAGGGTGATTGCCCCACTTGTCGCGTGAAAACAAACGCGTTTGTTTTAGAGTTGACAAGTTGGGTGCGATCGGCTTATCTACCATAGCCGCTTTGCACCCTCAATCTGGCTTGCAAACCGCCCCGACCAGACTCGATCCCCTAATGGACACCTCGTATTGTATTACATCCGCGCATAGAAGTTGGAGTTCGAATAGCGGCGGGAGGCTATTCATTCAATACTATTCAGACTCGAGTCCGCATAGCAACATTTTAACGAAAGTCTTTTTTTAAAAACGAAGTGTATACGGACCCGGTAACCGGGAACAAAGTCACGAAGTATACATACCCGGTAGGGGAACTCTTTTGAGAGGTCGGAAAGTTTCAGCGCCCAGACCCGGTAGTGTATGTGTGTGAGGAGGGAGGGAGAGAGAGAGAGAGAGAGAGAGAGAGAGAGAGAGAGAGAGAGAGAGAGAGAGAGAGAGAGAGAGAGAGAGAGAAAGACTGCTCGATTGAAATTATGACATTGTTCTTTCGAAGTGGCTAAAGTACGGCTAGACTGAGAGTCTAGCCGTACTTAAGTACGGCTAGACCGCCAGTCTAGCCGTACTTAGATCTAGGTTTGGCCCAATCGACTCAATCCTGTTAAGTACACAGGTCTCATGAGATCTAGATCTAGTTATTATTCAGGTTCAAATACATGCAAGTCAGTAAGGCACCTTTTGGTTTTGTCTGAAATACAAATACTTTAGGCATTGCAAACTAAAATTTTCATTTACAATTCAGCCATCAATATTTTAAGTACGGCTAGACTGCCAGTCTAGCCGTACTTATCTTAGGCCCTATTTACATTAGAAAACAGGAGGTTTAAAATACATGCACTGTCATTAAGGAACCTGGTTTTGTCTCAAGTACAAATACTTTAGGTACTGCACACTAAAAATGTATATTTACAATTCAGTAGGCCTATTTTTTGTAAATGGTCAGTCTAGCCATCATATTAAGAATAAGTACGGCTAGACTTACAGTCTAGCCGTACTTAAGTATGGCTAGACTGTGAGTCTAGCCGTACTTAAGTACGGCTAGACTGCCAGTCTAGCCGTCATTAAGTACGGCTAGCCTCTTCCTTGTTCTTTTCTACTTCAAACGACCTCCAAGTCCAAAAACGGAGAAAATTCGATCGTTCATCGAAAAGACATCCGCAATCTTCATTTAGATCTAGATCTAGATAAGATATCTATAATCTAGATCTAGATTTAGATTCTGGATTCTAGATCTAGGCTAACCTCGAAACTAGATCAATGATTTATAAATGTCTGTCTAGATCTAGATCTAGACCTAGGCTATAGATCTAGAAGAACCTAAGTCTGCCCTGTGCCAAGAGGGCGCTGAAACTTTCCGAAATCACAAAAGAGTTCCCCTTCCGGGTCTGTATACTTTGTGACTTTGTTCCCGGTTACCGGGTCTGTATACACTCCCTTTTTAAAAAGCCATTAATTAACTATAGATCTAGGCTAGAAAGTATCTGATCAACTCTCTACTATAATATATGGCGATGATTTGTTTCACCTTTTGTAACTTTCGACGCTTGTCACAGGATCACGAGTAGTCTACCAGATGCCGAAAAGAAGGCGTCCAATGTTATTATAATTTTTATTTTATTTTAGTTTTAGTATTTTTAGGTAGATCTAGATCTAGATCTAGGCCCTATTGTCTTCGAACGTTGGCGACTGGACTTTACTTTTATGGTGGCAGTCAGCTACAGACTTTACTAAGACGTCTAAATAAAGAATCTGAACGGCCAAGTTAAAGACATAAACGTGTCTCAAAGCCAATGATTCATCAAAACACCACTACAGTCTACAGTTCTAAAAATTATTTGTTGTCGCCCTGCCCACATCCAACTTCCCTTAGAGGAGGACTAAATATGATTTTATGGTTTAGAGAGTAAAGAGGGGAGTATTTGATGATCATATCACAGAAGGGTCATATCGATATCTTGAAGATTATTGATGTTCGATTAGTTGGATTATTTAAAAACGGAATACTTTGTACTTTGAGGAGTTGAAATTTTCAAATAGGCCCTAAGGTTTCGGTTAGTCTGAACGATTCCTCGTTGGTTCGGAATCTTTTCATTGATAAAAAATGAAACGGTCTTTGTATCGATCTCATTACTTGCTGCAGCACAAGCTAATCGAAAAAAGAGAGAATACCACAGACTCCGGAGAAAGAAGATTTGATGCAACGAAGTGAAACTACAATGAAGTTCTGTGTTCCAGAGCAATAACCTACTCCATGTGGTGACCTAAAACGACTGAAAATTCATTAACAAATCTGATCTGCTTTGATTTCACAGTGAAAAGAAAAAGGGTAACGCTGTGTTTTGTTCTTAGGAGGATGAATGGTGCTTGGCCAAAGTCTTGGCAGATCTCGCTCCCCTCGCTTCCTTTATTTTACACAACAAGAAAAACGAAAACCTTGGCTGTTGTAGCTAGAAAATCTCTCTCTCTCTCTCTCTCTCTCTCTCTCTCTCTCTCTCTCTCTCCCCCGCACACACACACACACCCACTTTGTCACTTTCCGAAGTCACAAAAGATTTCCTCTACCGGGTCTGAGCGCTGAAACTTTCCGAAATCACGTAAGTCAGAATTATAACTAGATCTAGATCTAGTCTCTAGGCCTTTAATTCTTGTCCTGCGTCTTGTGCCGAGATGCGAATCTCATTTTGCAACCTCTTACGTCAGACGTTCCAGGTGGGCCGCCGGGGTCACTCAGGGTGTACTGTTGGTGTACAGCGAGCGGCACTGGAACCGTGTGTTTTCGCCGTGAATACCGTGGGAGTGTGTTAAGCGATGATGAAAATCACGATCTATCTTTTATAGCTTTCTATTTTGTAAAGTGTTACGAACCCATGAATAACCACCTCTCATAAGCCGATAAGACATTACGAGTAGTTACGCACACATTCAAAATAAAATAGGACTGACAACTGACTAGATTTCGATTTCCTCCACAACTTCAGAGTCAGAATGCCTCATAAAAAAGAGTCATTATTATTGTCATTAGTCATATTGTTGTGCGTGAAAGAGATTCATTCATCTTGATCTCAAAATGGATGCACTATGTGCTTTTAATTTTAAGTTCAAGAATGGCCTAGACGTAGAATCAGGTCTGTGCTCTAGTAGTTTTAGCTATAATTATATATATCAGTCTTTTTTTGTTGTTGTTGAAAATTCGAAATAACTTACTCAAGGGCCAGAAAAATGCTGGTTCCTATGATTTCATTATTGATGAGTGCCAGATTTCACCACGAAGTCTCACAAATTTCTGTCCTTGAAGCAAGATGAAGGGAAATTAGGTACACATATTTGTGTATAAATAAGTTAATAGTCTTGTGGGGTGCTGGTTCATTTTGAGGAGACATTGGGCTTTTGATGTTTATAGTGGATATGTCTTTTTAAAATGCATATATAATATATATGATTGGGGGGGGGGGTGTCTTGAAATTTTATTCTGACTGAATTTTTTTATATTTATTAGTGCAGTAAGAGTCAATGCAAAAGTAAGCTATAGGCTGCTCACAAGAAAAAAAGTGAATTTTGAAACTCTTATTTTCAGAGGTGAGAAGGAGAGAATTTGGCTGGACCAGAAAGGATCATGAGATATTTCTGAGACTGGCAAGGAGAGTACACCAACAGACGCAGCACAATGGAAGTGAACAAGGAGTCTGACGAAGAGCATGTGGAAGAAAACAGTGGATTCCAGTTTTGGCGGAAGACACTCAATTCACCCAAGTATATCGTTGCCCCAATGGTGGACCAAAGTGAATTGGCTTGGAGAATGTTAAGCAGACGTTATGGTGCTGACTTGTGCTACACACCAATGTTTCATGCCGCTGTGTTTGTTAAGGATCCAAATTATCGAAGAGATTCCTTGCAGAGCTGTGCAGAAGATCGCCCTCTCATAATACAGGTGTGCCTATGCTATGAGAATCAATTCTTGTAATTTAGACAATAACTTTTTAAACTCTGAGCTTCTGTGTAAGTCATGATATTAATAAAATGTGATGCGTCAAAGACTTCAGGTTTTAGCAAAACTGGAGAACTGTGTAAAGTGAAAGAAAGGATAGAGAATTGATGTGTTGAATATGTAGTTGTCGCTCTTTTCAACAATGTGTGCCCATCAGATTTCATGAGCAAGTTCCTTGTGTAGTGTTTGTAAACTCTTTGCAGATTTGGTAGAACTGCACTAATAATCAAAGTAGCTGTAATTTTTACCAGTTTCTGATGCAGGTCATTATGATTATGTACTGCTTATTTGGGTTTTTTTCAGTTTTGTGCCAATGACCCAGAGATACTTCTTCAAGCAGCAAAAATGGCTGAAGGGCACTGCGATGCTGTTGACTTGAACTTGGGTTGTCCCCAAGTCATTGCCAAGAGAGGGCACTACGGAGCTTTTCTCCAAGATGAATGGGACCTTGTGTCAAAAATGGGTCAGTCAGTTTTTTAGGCTGAAATGGTGGTGTCACTGGTGACTGTTATGTTTATCCCTTTATCATTCTATAAGTAATGATTTGTTTGATGAAATGACCATGTCCACCAATATGAAGATTGCTTTTAACAACTGTAATTTTATGAGATTTTTATAGAAGGGGAGGGGCCTCATATCGTGTTGTACTTCCATATTTTGAATGTGAATGGTTTTGTCACTATCATGTGCTATGTCATGTTTGTTCTGAGGTTGACTCTAATCTGGTCCTGTGTTTTGCATAAGATGCATAAAATGCTTTGTTTACTCTAAGATAGTACACTAGATCGTGTTCATCATGGTTGGTTACCCACTCAGCTGTAAATGGATTTTTTGATGTTCTGTTAGAAATATAGTTTAAGTAACAAGAATTGAATGATAACAGAGCAGCACATAGATACTTAACGCATTTGCGGCTAGACTGCAATATCTCAGATTGGGGGGGGGGGGGGGTGTTTGGATGATACAATGGAAAATAATGAGTGAAACATGAAAATGGGTTTGTGTTTTTTATTCCGTCAGAGACGCCACAAGGCAGCAGATTATCTTTTTAACTTCAACTTTTTTGGTTGTGCTTTCAGTGCAGACATGTCATGAGAACCTGAACGTGCCTATCACTTGCAAGATCCGAGTGTTCCCCTCCACTGAGAAAACTGTTGAATATGCCAGAATGTTGGAAAAGGCTGGATGTCAGGTATGGTGTGTATGTGTGTGTATGTAGAAATTGGGGGGGGGGGGTGACCTTGGGTTCTGATCCATAGTGAGTGAAAGTGTTTATACCGACTTTTTTGTGTATTTTTTATAAGGTAGTCGAAGGAGAACAGGATAACGCATTTTGGCCTCTTTGGAGAGACAAGCTTGTCCTTTAACATTTATCTCTAATGTAGATGTATGACGTTAACATTTTCATTTAGAGTGTGTTGGGTGTAAGATTTTTCCTACCTCTGAGCTTGAAACTTTGTTTGACCGCTTTTCCTTTTGCTGTTATGCATTGAAATCCTGTGCTGTTGTTTCCTTAATTATTTTTGTGTGTTTGTGACTTCTTGATGAACTCCTAGTGGGGTTGCTTGTATTTTCTGGGGTACCTGATACTACTACAGGAATAATAGTCCCAGAGTATACTCTTCATAGTCCATCTTTCTGCATTACCTGTTTCCATGTTCTGCCAGTTTTGATAACATCTTTAAGTCCCCACAGGCTTGCCAACAGCTTTTTGTTATGATGGACTATGGTGCAGATGGCCCTGATTTGAATCCCTCATAGGTCATTCATGATGTAGTGAAGATAATGAATAGGATGATTCAAGTTATATATACGGAAGTGATCTTGATGATAAAGATGATAATGCTGACAGAAAAAAGATAAATTTTGGCATTTTGGAACAGAAAAGTGATTGAAAGAAATGAAACAATTTATTTGTATGAAATGGTAACAGACAAGTTGAACTTGAAGAAAATGGCACCAGGTGAAAAAATCTAGCAATTTAAATAAACATACCTCACATTTGTGTTTTGTGAGCCACGTGGGACCAAACGATGGGCCTGTTTTCTTTGCTGCCTGAAAAAAAATTCTGTGAAAAAAATGTTGTTGAGACCTGAACAGTGGGTGGTTGGTGGATACCCTTGTATAGTTTGCTTTTTCTTTTGTATCATGCATCTATCATCCTTATCTCTCCTTTTTTGTGTTTATTACTCTCTTGTGACACCTCTAATCTTCGGCACTTGTATGACGTTATTGTGTTGCAAGTGTTGTAAAACTCTTACTAAAACTAAAAAAGACCAGGACTTTCACCTTGACTTGTTTATTCTGTCACCATTCTTTCACTAGCTATTAACAGTCCATGGGCGCACCCGAGAGCAGAAAGGCAAACAAACAGGCTGTGCTGACTGGTTGAAGATCAAGGCAGTCAGGTAATTTTGGGGTGGAGGGGGTGGGTCACAGAGTGGAGACCCTTACTATTTGTTTATTTACACCTCTTGTACCTGTTTTGAGGAAACTGTCGTTCTGGAGCCAATGAATAGAACACATAGGTCTGTCTTACATGCTGTCTCTTGGCAAATATACCACTGAAATGGGTAGATTCACCTGTCCTCAGACTTGATGTTCTAGTGAGCAACAAGGGCAAAAATGTTATGCCGGGAACTCATTGGTACCTATGGATGATGAAAGAGAGGAGAGAAGGTTTGCTGATAGGGTAAAATCAAGGTTTAGGCTGTATTGTGTTTCATTTTAACTTACATTTGTGTGATCAGACAAAAAAATATTCTGGACCTTAAGGCCCTGAAATAAAAATTCAAATCTCTAGTTTTAGAAAGATCTGTTGCACATTCCATTTTTTCTCGGCTTCCTTTTTTTTCCTGGTCTACTTACTGCAGATGGCCCTTCTACAATAAAAAAAACCCCAAAACGACTTTTTCAGATGTTGATTGATCTTAGATTGATTAATGAACCCCCAGGGTGTGGGAAATTTTCTTGCACATGGAGTTCGGTATCTGGTCATGATACTTGAATTGTTGGAGAAGTGTGTGTGTGTTCTTTGGAGAGAGTCATTGACTTTAAGGCTTTTTATTTTTTGCGTTTCAAGAGAATGTTGTGATTGTCTTCACTGAAAAGTGTTGGTTTTTATGACATGTATGCTAGTGATTAAATTTGTTTATTAAATTTGTTTATTAATTTTGTTATATTACTAGATGATGATGATTATTATTAAACTTTATATTCTTCTATCTATATCATGTGTTAATGTGATATATGCAATGTTCCCAGGGAGGCAGTGAGCATCCCTGTGTTTGCCAACGGAAACATCCAGTACCTGGCTGACGTGCACCGTTGTCTTAAAGAAACGGGAGTACAAGGCATCATGAGTGCAGGTTGGTGGTCTCCATGGTTTCGCTTTTGTATCAGAGTTAAAATCTACTGTACACGATTAGGTTATTTTGAAGAGATGCCCAATTTGTTTATTTCTGTGTACAGTAAGGATGTTTCCTTCTTTCATTGTAATGTGCCATTTTTTTTTCTGAGTGAAGTGCTGTTGTGTTTTTTTCCTTGAAGAAAGACAGGTTGATTGGGGTCTTAGACTTCACAGTAAACTTTTCATTTTGTTGTCCAGACCTTCTTGGGTTAGTTTTCCCTCGCTCTCTGGTACTAGTTCTGTCCTGTCCCTGTCATAAGACTGATGTCTGGGGTGTAGTGATTCAGCTCTTGGCCCTTTCTCACAATATGTGTGAATGCACTTCCCACAGGAACGTCTGTTTTATCAAGTATTTCCATCTGACAGGCACTGTGGAAGCAGCGCTCCTCATGAATGATTTGAATTTTAAAGTGGACTATTGTGTCTAGGGGGAGGATTTCAAGGTACTCATGAGTAATGTTACTGTTGTATCCTCAGAGGGTAACCTACACAACCCTATGTTGTTTACTGGTGGCAGCCCCTGTGTGTGGGAGATGGTGAACGAATACCTGGACCTTGTTGAAAAGTACCCGTGCCCCCTGTCATATATGAGGGGACATGTGTTCAAGCTTTGCCATCACGCGTATGTTCTCCCATGTGTGTATGTTGTTTAATGCAGGCTGTGCGTGAGTGAAGATCAGTTGCATTGTTGGTTAATGGACAGTCTACCAACCCTGATATATGGGAGGTGGGAGGAAATATCTCTCTTTCTTTCTTTCTTTCTTTCTTTCTTTCTTTCTTTCTTTCTTTCTTTCTTTCTTTCTTTCTTTCTTTCTTTCTTTCTTTCTCTCTTTCCTTCTTTGTTTCTTTCTTTTTTCCTTTCTTTTTTTCTTTCTCTCTCTCTCTCTCTCCCTCTCCCTCTCCCTTTCCCTCTCCCTCTCCCTCTCTCTCTCTCTCTCTCTCTCTCTCTCTCTCTCTCTCTCTCTCTCTCTCTCTCTCTCTCTCTCTCTCTCTCTCTCTCTCTCTCTTTCTTTCTCCTCAGCCATCACACCACAGATGCTTTTAAACTTAAGTTGTTAATTAATGAGCCCTATTTTTCTCTCCACCTACTTTGCTTAGTTCTGTGAGAAGGATGCTTATATCAGACCGAAGGTTTCTTGTGTTGAAAAAGGTGTTTAACCCTTTCAGTACTAGTACTTTGTAAATCAATAACAATAATATACACCTGTTTTTCATTTTTTCTTCATTTTCTCCTTTTTGCTGAGCTGCTGTTGTCACTGTATGAGGAACAAAGTCCTCATGGATATGTTGTTGTGCTAGTGTTTTCATCATGAAGTTGCATGTTTACTTTGTAATTGTTTTTGTTTTCTTCAGTTTCAAAATGGACTCTAATTAACGTATATTTTCTATACCAGATTGGCTGTCCATCGAAATGTGCGTGATTTGCTGGCATCTGCAAAGACTTATGAGGAGCTCCGAGAGGCAGCTACTATGCTGAAAGATTTAAGTGCAGTAAGTGTGTGTAAACTGTTGTTGGATGGGATGGGGGGCAGGGGAATTGATGTATCTGTGTGCTGCCATCAACATGTGAGAATATGTATTTGTACAGTTGTTTTTTATAGAAAGATTACAATATACAGGTGATTGGAGGGTGCCACTGGTAGATCCTACTTCTTTATTATAAATCTCTTTGGTTTCTGTCTCGCCCTCTTGCTTTTTGTCCTGCACTAAGTTACTATTGTTGTATTAACTCACTTGAGCCTATTCTTGTTTATTTAAAGGACACGTCGCTGGCCTGGTGGCCGAATCCTATACAGAATGCGCTTTAGCAGTCTATATCGTCTGTGTTTTTCTGTTACAAGCTACTGGAAGCGGCGAGCCAACAGTTGTTAACTGTAACAAAGTCATACACCCCTGCTTTGCGGTAGAAGCTCTGTGAATGGAAGCAAAGCCATGGTCGTTTTTATAGTGAAGATAGCCTATCAAAGACATAAATGAAACATGTTTTTAGTGTTTAAAAGGTCAAAGCTCCCACAATGTCCCACATAACTTACAAGAAGCTGCTAGATCTATGGCTAGGGCTGTAGTTGAGGCTTTGAACAGTTGGAGTCGAAGTTAAGGGAAAGTAGGAATCAAAATAGTTTTCTTTTTCCAAGTCTAGTCCAAGTGATACATGTACAGTCAAACCTGCCCTGACGGCCACCTCTATAAGACCTGTACAAACGGACACTTTCCATTTCCCCCCTTGAATTTTTTCTATATAATTTAACTGTGTAAAACGGGCACCTGTCCAACGCGGCCGCGGCCACCATATTTCAACACACAACCCCTATCACACAAAGCAATAACACCTGTCTTAGACGGCCACCTAAGTGACTCCATTACGCTTTGTCATAAATCAAGCATTGACCCCTAGCGTTGTAGGCGAGCCATCATAATCTAAAAACCTGTCGTTGTTAAGTAGTCCCTCCAACTGATCATGTTGCGTAGACCCCTCCCACTGTTGACCAATAGGTAACAAAATTAATTTTCAGCTGCTGAGGAGGGAAGCGTGTGATCCCTCATAACCCATAAGCCCCGCCCAGAACCCATACACAAATCGTAGTGAGATGAGTGGTCACTGTTTACCCAGTCTGTAACAAAGTAACAATGGACGTCAGCATGAACTTGTGACAGAAGCGTCGCTTGTTCTCCGAGTGGTAGCGACACGTGTGTTTGTTTTACCATAGCACTCGATCCTCCTTGTCTGACACATTTCGTTTTATTGTCACCCGTGCACAAAAGCAGCAACAAAAGAAAAAAAAAAACCCCAACGAAAACAACAACAACAACACAAATAAATAACAACAACAACAATGCAACTAGATCTACCTTCGGTTGTGACCTCAGAAAGGAAGGGTTTGTTTTCTCAGATAGGAATGGTTTGTTTTCTTCATCTTGATCAGTCCTGCCTAAGACGGCCACCTGTCTTATACGGCCACTTTTCTCCTTGACAATGGGTGGCCGTCTTACACAGGTTCGACTGTATACAAATCTTGTAGTTCTAGTTGCGGGAATAGTAGCAGTTAATCTATTAGTTGCTGGTGTAACAAACTCAAGGTGAGAAAAGGACAGTAGTATCTCAGTGTAGACTTTAGACAGAAGTACAGCAACAGGATACTGTCGTACCATTTGCGAAATGCATCATGTCCTCCAACTGGAACTCGATTTCATGCTTCCACACCAAACTCAACATACATAAGAAAGTCCCGATTCGGCTCAAAACTATGGATTTTAAGTTGTAGGCATTTTTAGCTTCTTCAGCCTCTCTTACAACTATTTCATGGCACAAGAACCCCTAAAGCCTTATTTCATCTCATTCCGGGCATGTTTGTCACGACCATTTCCTCATAAAGTCGAATTTTTATTTTTCTCTATTGCCCGTTTTCTTGAAACGTGGTTTTTCTATTATACTTTTAAAAATTACTCCATCATTTTTCATCCAATCTTTATGAAATTTTTGCAGAATGAAGATAAGTTGTAATACTAAAAATGTGTGATGATTTTTTAAATATATATGGAATAGTTTTTTGCTGGTGGTGTTTGGAGTTTGGATTTTCACAGATTTTTTTTTGTAAACGTGAATACTACCTCCGGAAAAAATTAATCAAAAATTGTCTAGTACGTTTAGGAAAAATTCATCACATAGATTTGTAGATCTACTGTTTGCCAAGATGCATGCAAAAAACCCCAATTTATTTCCATGAAAAAAAGTACTGTATTAATTACGTAAGACATGTCAACAAAATCCAATATGGCCGCCGTATCCATGGAAACTAAATGTTTTTTCTCAAATTTGATCATGGATTTTAAGACTCCTTACTCTGCTTGTTATATGTGTGAAATTTGGTAACATTTGATGCCCTAATAAGCGAGATAGCATTCAGTTGCCGCGTGAGCGCCCCCCTTAACACTTTGCCATGACAATGCTCATATTATAGTAAAAACCTTTGTCATCAAAGGCAAAGGCATTTTGGGGAAAATCCTAAGAAACTGGGAGGTAAACATCGCCGATCGGTGAGATGTAATGGCAAAGTGTTAATCAAATAAACAAATATTACTAGAGCTGTATTGTACAGGAATCAGCGCTGTAGAAAATTATTATTATTATCATTGTTTTTATACTATGATATGCAGTGTGCTGGATTAAAGGCCTCAGTGGGGGCTTTCGTCGCCAAGAGGTTAAGGTGTTGGCCTCTCATTCAAAGGTCCTGGGTTCGAATTCGGGTAGCGACCGAAAAATTTTCTTCTTTAAAATTGTCTCCTTTCACCTCCTTTCCTGCTCTCTAGCTATGTTCTGTTGTCTGCTTTCGTTTCCACTTTCTGCCCCCACCCCCTCACCTCCTTTGCCCTCACCCCCTCACCTCCTTTGCCCTCACCCCCTCACCTCCTTTGCCCCCTCCTCTGGGCTCCTGACTCTTTCTGCAGCCTTTCTACTGCTCCTTGGCTCCTCCTAACTGCTGTTTTTCTACCACACCCCTGATCTTCTGGTAGGAAAGATCTACACCTAGCCTTCTCGGACAAGGGCGAAAAAACTCGGAGGGCCCGTGGGCAAGTTGGGCTCGTTAAAGATCCCTTGGTGGTCTAAAATCGATAAGATAAGAGTAGGCTTCGGCCGCCACCCGGGCAAAATTCAAAATTTCCTACCAACTGAAAATATTAGGTGTGTCCCGAGCGCTCATATGACCTTATGCAGTTGCGAGCGCCGTAAAAACACTTACCAAAACAAACAAACAAACAAAAAAGGCCTCCATCAGACTTGAGCCAACATTTAAACTTGACCAATGATGATATATGTGTCACGACTTGGTGAAATCAGGCACTGGTCCATTTTTGGGCATGTTGAGTTATTGATATCATCTTAACTCTTGTCCTGCGTCTGTGCCAAGATGCGAGTCTTGCCAGTAACTTCTTACAGCGGACGTTACAGCGGGCCGCCGGGATCACTCAGCGTGTACTGTTAGTGTACAGCGAGCGGCACTGGAAAGTGTGATTTTGTCGAGAATACCGTGGAGGTGTGTTAATCGATGATGAAAGTAACGCTCTTTTATAGCTTTCTATTTATAAAGTGTTACGAACACATGAATAACCCCCTCTCACAAGTTGATAAGACATAGGTTGATAAGACATAGTTACGCTCATACAAATAACCTTTTTAGACGCTCTTGTTGTTACGAATGATCTGGGGTTCGAAAGAGAATAATATAGATCTAAGTCAATTTCTGAACGTTTTGCTCTCAAATTGTTCTTTTTACCTGCACAATGGTATTCAAAACTATCAAATAAGCTTATTTTAATCAGGTAACATCATTTTATATTAAATCAAGCTCATTTGAAGGATTTTGTACATTTTGTCTTGTTTCCTGTCTATCCTTTTTGGGTCAATTTGTTCTAATTTCATCGGACAAACATCTAGAGCTACCTACCAACTTGGCGTGTTTTGAATGAGACGTATGCCTCAGTTACAAACCAACGCAGGCGGTTCTAGAAGAAGGCCACAAACGCACACAAACTCAAGCAGACTAACACACACACACTTGAGCTACAGGAATACGGGACCCGAGGATGATGATCGATGCGCGTGCGCTGAGCCACGGCCGGACTGATATGGGACAGGACGGAAGCTGAGATGCCGAAATATGCTTATTGGGGAACATAAACCCGGTTCTGGCAGGACAAGGGTTAAAGCTTTTTTATATGTCTTGCTTTTATGGTGAAAAAAAATACTCATCTATCTTAAATAGAAATCAAGATATTTGCGATTGAAAAAGGTAAGGGTTGCCTAGGTGTCAGAGCTCAAATTAACAAGAAAATGGCTGCCAAATTTTGGTGACTTCCAAAGCTTGAGTGTCCTTGGAAACTTCAAATTTACATTTTTTTGTGCCTATGATCAATGTTTTTCAGTAAAATCCACACAGCATGTTTTTTAATGGACATGAAAGGGGTTGATATAAAATCATAAATTTTTAAAAAATATTGCTTTATGGATAGAAAATGCCGGTTCCTTTGATTTAATTATTTTGACAAGCGCCTGATCTCACCACGATCCTTCACTTAAAACCAAAGTCAGGAAAAGACTTGAAATTAACCGAGGAAGAGGTCAAGAGGATCAGGCATTTCTTCATCTTGTGCTAGATCTATGTCGCTTCTTTCTTTACTGCCACAACTATGTAAACTTTTTTTCAAGTAGATGTGTTATTTATTTTTACTTGATGTAATTCCCATGACCTGTCCCCTCTACATGGTCTCCTTGACCTTAACATGCTAGATGCCCCTGAACACTTTATGATCTTCACATGGCCGTTTTCTCCCTATGACCTCTGTCCCTTATTAACTTATTATAAATTTGTTTCCCCAGGCAGACATAGAAAAGGCCAAACACAACCCAGATCTCTTTACCACACACAAACAGTTGGACCACCCATATTGGATCTGCCAGCCCTACGTGCGGCTCAGGTATGGCAAACTAGGCCAGGCCAGTCTCTCGCTGATGTCTGCTAACTTTTACCACCCGTTTTCACTAAAAGATCAAATTTAAAATGTACTTGGTGAGGGAATTTGATTGGGGGGGGGGGGGTATTGGGCCCTCAAACCATCTGTTTTCTTTAGAATTTTAGCTTTTATCTTAGATTTTCTAGTCAGACCACATTATTAATTTTACTAAGTGTTTGGTTTGTTTTGAAGGTAAGAAGTTTTATCAAGTTTAGAAGAGACATTCTCATAACCCTTGCAAACAACCTCCTGGCAGGATGCATTGGAGGGAAAAGGGGTTGTCCCTTGATCAAAGTTGGTGGGATGATGTCTTCTTTGTCCCTTCTAAGTTTCTGTCTCTCAGCCATAAGTTATGTTGCTGTTGTTTACTCTCTGGGCCCTGCCAGCCTGACCCTGTATAGACATTCAACGAGTATTGTAGTGTCAGTGTTTTAGCGTTTCTGTGACTTTCTTCCTGTAATTGCCTGTTGTTTGCTTCGATCTAGCAAACCTCAGAATATTTGATCTGAAACAAAGCACAAGTTGATAACATGTAAACAGTGAAGGGTCACGCTTTTTATATCCCTGAAATGCTTATAGACCTACTTGCAGTTCATTCCTTTTTTTTTCAGGCTATTCGTAATAGAGGGAAAACCCTGTGGGATAGGCTCGAAGATTTGCTAATGAAAAAGCAGTGTAGAAATACCTCGTGTGATCACACGAAGGTTCTTGATGGGATGGTGGCTCCTTATTATTATGTAACAATTCTTTATTGGCGATAAATATCAATAAAAGGTACAAGACAACTCTCACTTTTGTAGTCAGGTAATTGAGAATCAGCCTTGTTCCATCATGCTGTGGACATCTCATTGAATTGTATGCTGTCGCAGGTAATAACAGTATAAGATGTGTCAACAGCTTGTGCTGTCACTCGTCTGAGAAAAAAAACTGGGACTGAAATGTGGAGTTGAATGATGTATGATTTATAGTTGAACATGTTTGACTGTATGAACTGATTTTTGTGTTTGTCGTTGATATGCTGTGTTGCTGGGTTTTAATCGACGTCTCTCCTATCAACTGTTAGTGACAGCGACTTGGAGCAGCCGGAGCACCGTGCTATAAGACAGATGTTGAACATGAAAAGAGCACAAGACATGGAAAAAATGAGGGAGGAACACAGTGGTCTGTCCATCAAAAAGCTCAAGAAGCGGCTGAAACACCCACACAAGAATTTTGACACCAACAGGCTCCAGTTTGAATCTTGTACTCATTGCCGTAACCCAAAGGTGGGTTTGTTGTGAGGGTTGTGAGATAAAGAAACATGTACTCCATGCTCCATCTAAAGGGTGGGTGGGGTGGGGTGGTTGGTAGGTGGGATATGCAGAGCTTTGAAGGCTGACTTGAATTGATTTGTTCGGAGCATTGACTGAGAGGGGGGTTCATGGTTTTGTTATTCTCTATGGAGTTGTTGTGTATCCCGAAAGCTTTTTATAACAGTTTGATTTTCTATTTTGAGGTGTGAAGTAGAATGCGCTCAGTTTTTTTATGGAGAGGGAGGGGATTGCAATAATGATTATGATGAATTTTGAGAATGGAAACTACAATCGCAAAAATTGCATTCCTGCTGTAAAAAAACACTCATTTACAACACATGCACTGGAAACCTTCTTGAGGAGTAAGAAGACTGTAAAGGACTTTGTACTCAGGTCTTCTGTAGTTGATGTCTTATTATTATGAAATAACTTTTCTTTTAAAAGAAAGGACTGTAGACAGGTTGGAAAAGCAAGATTGTGGTATTTCTTGTTTCCTGTGCGATCTTTAGACTGACAAGTAACGGGTGAACTTGGAATATAGCAGGATCGTTTCCAGTGGAAAGGCATCTCCAATTGTGCAGGCTTTAAGGTGCAGACCACACTGGCTTATGTTCCTAATAATGCAAATCCACGGGTTTTTTCTGGTCCTTTCAGTTAATCACCCTGTTTTGTGGGGAAAGAAAATTCAGACTGAAAAATTCTGCGTGTTAACACTGGAAGAGATCCTGCAACCTTTATTGGGATTAAATGCTGAAAGCCTTAAGCTTTTTTTGTTACCCCTTATTTTTAGTTCATGTTGTGTCTTTGTCCTCAGGGTACACGATGCCCATTTAACCTTTGTAAAACTTGTTGCCGTCTCAAGGTTAATGCAGAGAATGTGGACTGCTCAGGTATGCCAACTTCACTTTTTGTGTCCGCCATTATGGCAGTTGTTGTTGCTGCTGCCGTTGTTATTTTATTTTTGTTTTTTACTGCTATTATCCATCATATCCATCTGCAAAGAATATAATGCCGGTGTTGGTTCCTTACCCGTATATCAGCACATGAACAAGCCCAATGTGTATTACTTGTGAAATTCAGTGGCAAAAAGGCAAAAGGGTGGCTTGTTTGGTCACAACTGAGTCATGGTGTTTGATCCAAGTAAAATTGCCTGGTATTCTTTTGTTATTGACCGAGACCTATTTGCTGTACTTCCTTATACTTTTTACATTAGGGTTTAAATTGTTGAAGATGAGGGTTGACATGTGTGAGGCCAATTCATTAACCCTGTTATGACGAGATCAAAGCAGCACCCTGTCAACTCTAAGGCTAACATGGAATTTAGAATCAATTGACCTCCCATTGTCTATCAAATTATAAGAAAGCCGATCTAGTGTTTGTGAACCAGTTCTGAAAATTTTTTGCCTCAGGCCTAGATCTATATAGCTTGTGAATATAATGTCAGATTCTCAGAATGGAAAAAGTGTGGGTTCATATCTCAAGTCTTGGAGCTAGCCTTTGTTCTACTCTGCACCAGTGAACTTTGCTCAAGTGGGAAAGGTTTTGTTTCCTTTAGAAATCTCAAAAGAACTGCATTTGTTAGCTATTCACTTGTTAAGTGACAAATTTCCAAATTTTTAAAGAAGAGTGAGTGTTTGTGTGAATATTTTAGGTCACTAGTTTTCTGTTTGTTTTCATGGACCCACCATTCAGTGCAAAATTAAGATGATAGACTGGTCCCAATTTTTCTGAAATGTTAAGGAAATAGGTTTGAGGACTTTGTTTCTGTAGAAACTATTGTACTGTAGAACACGGCTATAGCGGGACTTTTGGTTCCAGAAGGAAAATCCCGTTGTAGACGAGTTCCCGCCATAGGAATTAGGGGCGGGCACGAGACGAGCCGAGTACTCGTTTCTCGCGAGAAATGCCCTTCCCGTAGCTGCCCGCGCACTAAACTACTGCCTGGTACCGAGAAGTGATACTGCTCGTTGGCTTGACATAACGAATAACAGTAACGAGAGTGAGAGGCGAGAAATGACACGCAGACAGTGCCACCCATCACCGTGCCATCCTGTGTGTGAAACTGAAAAGGAGGGGAGAGGGTGGCGAGACGAGGCTAGTGGAGAGTTGATCAGGGCCTAGGCCTAGATCTCCCTACCTTCCTTCACTGCCTGCGCCTGCGCAACAGGGCTAGCCTAGTTTAGATCCCCACCACGACCGGCCTTCTCGCTAAGCGAATTGCCCGTACTGCGGGGCGAGAAGAGAAATTGGTCACGAGACGAGAAGCATTTCTCGGGTCTCGGGACACGAGACGAGAAGCATTTCTTGGGTCTCGGGACACGAGACGAGAAGCATTTCTCGGGACCGTAGAGTCAGCTTCTCGGTCTTCTCGCTCGGGAAGGAAAAAACGCTTCCCGCCCGTCTCTAATAGGAATGCAAAGGGGAATTACCGAAAAAAAATTATTTAAAAATACTCATTATTACCTGCCTTTCATATCGATAAAATTTGCGCTTTAGATTAGTTTTCCTTTCCTTGTCAACTTCGTTGATTATCTCGGTTTTCAGTTCGAGTGAGAAGCATTTCCTTTTTGTCTTTGTTGGAAGCCATCTTTTCCTCGGTCTTGTTGCTTGTGCTGTCTGTCATACCGGTAGGCCTACTGCAGAATTGGAGAAGTGGATGCATGCGTTTGCCGAAGTCTGAGCATCAACAATTGCAATTCCATGAATCAGGAATCATACACTACATGCTCTCCTCTTCTTTAACATTTTGGCCTAGCCTAGGGCTATGGCCTGTACGTTCTTATACTGAATGTCTAGGTTATGGCACATCACTTTTTGAGTGGTTCACCTAACGCGTCTCTCCGCGCCATTCTCTCTCTGCCGCCTGCCCTACCTCACTCATCTCTGGACTAGCCGTTCACAACGCCGCACAGCCGACTGCCTGTTTGGAGCCTGCCTACAACCCCCCCAACCCCCTTCCCCCAGCTAGAGCTCGCCCTATCTCGCTGTTTCCGAGTTCGGGACTTTCCTTGCCCCGCTAAATCTAAGCATAAGTAATTGAGTCTACATAGATAAAAAAAGGTGGATTCCAGTAAGGTCCCACTGTAGAGATGGTGCCGCTATAGTCATATTCTACTGTATTAGAAAACAGGAATTGCAGTCCTTTTTCAGAAATGAAATAAGATAAGAAAGAACCACATTATATCCACCTCATGAGTTGTATTTCTTCTTTTGCCATTTGAAAACTCTCTCCTCTCTCTCTCTCTCT